AAGAAATATTTTTAAGTATAACAAGTAAAGCTTTAAAATGTGTAAATTTAAAAACTATCATTTAACATTTATAAAAAGAAATAGAAACATTCTGACCAGAAGTATAATCATGTGAACAAATGTGTGTATATTTAAGCACAATGCATAATCTCAATGAAACACACACACACACACACACACACATACACATTCTCAAAAGGTGTTGTATAGTGTATATTGTTTGTGCAGGAAAGCATGCATATAAAGTAATAGATTGTTAGATTAACAAAAGACACTGATAATAATCTCAAATTTAATATACTTTTTAAGATAAAGAAAATGACTCACTGAAAGAAATGAAGAATGAAAAATGAAAGAATGAAAGAATTTCCATTCTGAAAGGGACAGCTCTGTGTATCCAGATGAACTTGGCTTTAGTTTTGCCTCCCTCTTCCCAGGGGTCGCATTGGAGAAGAAAAGGCTGGTCCTCAGAATGAGCAGTCCTCAGATGCTACTGAGGCCTTGGCTTCCCTACAGTGGATATTGATGGCCAGTTATGGTCACTGTAACTCAGATTATTTGATTATTTGCATGCACTGCCTGGTACCAAAAGAAAAAAAAAAAAAACACACAGGAGGCATGGATAGGATGTGCCTACCAGCTCTAGGATGAATGGTGAACAGTTTCCTGAGGGTGGATGTCCATAGATGTGTTTCAGAGACAGGACAAGTACCAGGGATGGATGAAGAACTCACACAATACTCCATGAGCATGGAAATACAGGTGACTAATTGTGTGTGCCTTTGTATGAATAAATCTCAGGGAAGAATAGAAAGAGTTTGAGGGAAATTAGGTACCACACTATGAAAAGATGAAGCAGTTCTATTTCCATGCCCCAAACTTGAACAACAAACACAAGAGCAGATGTGAAGATGTTCCATCCTGTTTTGCCAGAGTTATGAGCTCTGCAGGAAGATGTACAATTGATAGTAGAATGAGGCAAGGAGCTCTGAGGCTTTCCTGTCTTGGAGGCCTTAGAAAATTGAGGAGGGACAGCAACACAATTAAGACACATCAGTAAGGGACAACTGCTGGATGGAAATTGGTACCATCTTTGTAAAAGAGGATAATGAAAATATTTCTGAAAGATATGACTATAATATCAGAAAACTATCTCATGTAGAGTAGATAACTAAGATCTTTACAGATAGACAACATTTATCACTCATTCTTAATTAAAGAACATTTCATCCCTATACGCACATTCATTGTCTATGGTTAGTTGGGTGAGTTGATGCCAGCATACAAGTGTTCCAGAGCTTCTGGGTTACTGTATTAGTGAAAAGGAATGCAGAACTGCTTCAAATTTCTGTAAACATCAATTTAGTGATATATTAAGTTAGGAAAACAAAATATTTTATTTTATTCAATATTGGTTTCTGTGCCTGGGTAGTGTATTTACCAACTCTCACCAACTCTACTCTCACTACTTGGTCTAAAGCTACCATCATCTCCCCAACAGGCCATTGCAACAATGATTGCTGAGTGGTTGTTGATTATTGGGCTTTAGAATCACCCACCAATGGGCACATGAGGGAGGTAGGGGGACCCTTATTAAACTGTGGATTCCTAGGCCTACCATCAGACTAGTGAATTGAAATATCTAGAGATAATCAAAGAAATCTGCATTTTCTTCTTTTCAGGTTATTCTTATGAGCTGTATTATTTGCAAAACACAGTAGCAGTGCATTTTCTTAATTCATTTTTAAAAACTACATGAAAAGGAATTGTCTTCCTCTCAACTTGTATCACTTAGTTAAGAGACTCAGATGAAAAATTAATTTCAGGAGAACACCAGGGCATACTGCCTCCCCAGATGCCTGCTTCTAGGTAATAGAAACATTTACAACACCATTTGGAAACTCATATTCTCATAAATGTCAGCCTGTGATAAGAAAGCAATAATGAATCTATATGCTTTTTTGGTACCTTTCTTATCTCATCATTCAGAAAAAAACAATCAGATTAAAATGAGAATTTAAATCTCAATATTAATTTAAAGTATCCAGGGAAACCTTTTAATTTTACAGATGAGAACAATGAGAGGCAGAGAGACAGGGACATGATAACACAGGCACTGGCTGTCAGGTCCAGGATCCAGGCGTTCTGAAAAAAGCCCAGGGCTTTCCCCATCATATCAGTTTCTTTTCCTTCCCTTTCTCCCTCCCCCTCTTCTCTTATATCAGAAACACGTTATGGCTTTGACTATTCTTTATCTCTGGCCAAATGATGAAGTCTTCTTTCATTCATGTTTTTCTTGTGTCAGAATTTACGTGGAGGATTTTCTTAGTCTTTCAAAGTCACAGGATGTTTGGAAGAGAAAAAAAAAACAAACTTGACTCTTCATTACAGCACTATAAATAGTCTAGTTGGTCAAAATATACTTCGTTTTTTTCCTAAACATCATTTTAAACTAATTGTTTAACAAAAGTATTTCCTTGTCAGTTTCTGTTCTGCAACTTTGCAGCCTGCATTCTACCTTTAAGCAAACTGTTTATATCTGGTATTAAATCTCTTGAGAAACATCTTTAAGTAAGACATTACAATCATTATGACCACAAAAGAAATGACTATTGTCATATTTAAGAAAAGATTCCACCGGGAACAAGCAGCTTCAGCGTTGGAAATGTGATTATTTACATGTCGGTCAAGGTAATTTTTTTGTCCCCCTGATGTGGAATTATCTGACAAATTGAATATCTTTATTTGGATGGCAAGGGAGTATGAGAGTTACTTCCTGAAATGCAAACAGAGGAATGTATACCTCAAGTCAAATCACTAGTGTGGTTTTCATTTAACAGAATTTACTTTGAATAATCTATTTTATTGCCTACATTTTGAATCTACAGAGTCTCAGTAAAATTGTTCCTATATTAGACACTAGTTTACACTGAGCAAACATTAAATTGATCGTTTTAAAGTGGGCATAAACTTAAAACAGATTCCTTCATTTTCCAGACTTAAATCTTTATCAACTTGTTCTTTAAATCTGAGTTTCACTGATTTGCCCAGAAGCCAATTAACTGGAGAATCAGGAGAGTAAAAGCAGAACACATTGGGTCAGATAATATGCCTGAAGTAGTGACTGAGACAAATCCTGGGGCAGGTACTGTTACGCATATAACTGATTCCTGGGCAAGGAGGCCACATTTAAGACAGGGCAGTTAGAGCCTTCTTCATTTCTATTCTTGCTGCTCTGCTTCCATTGCACCAATACAACCAGTATTTGCGTTTTAGGCTAATACACATACTCAAGATGATATGCCCAACGTCACAACAAAAAAGTATAAGGCATCTTTTTCACGTGCAAAAAATGAAGCAAAATTTAAATTTCTCCTGACATCAAAGCATATACCAGAACACAACAAAATGATAACATCATCAACAGGAACCAAGAACTAGAGGCTATGGCAGATAATACCTCTAATAATTTTTAGGCATCTCAAAGATTACTTGGGAGAAAAGAAAGAAAAATAACAGAATAAATGTCAAATCAATAAAATTGATTTGTATCGAAATAAGGCATCTTTAGAAAATGATCTTTATCTGAATCGGATTTTTCCTCAAAAGGGGTTAGGGAACTCTAGCTTGATCTTGCTCATAATATGTTGAATATTCATCTTATGCAACAGAATGCAATTTGCATAATATGAGGCCCAGGACCATCAGAAAACTCAGATGAAGTTTCCAAAATAACAAGAGAGCTTTCCACTCCATCATGAAGGGAATCCACAAGCTCACATTTTTTTTTTCTTTGACAGGATTTCCCAGATTTACTGTAGAAAACATATCAAATTTCACAATAGGCCCCAGAGAATGTTATGTTTAAGTTTTGTATGTGTGTGCATGTGCATGTGTGTATGCGTATGTGTGTAATATATATATGTATGCTGACATGTAATTTTTTGATGATGGCATTTAACAACAGTTTTAAAGAATATATATGACGATGACATGCACACCCAAATAAGAGCATTTTTCTTTGAGGCACCATGACTTTAATCTATAGATTTTTTCTCATAGGATAGTAGAAAAAAAAATATTTTCATCTAACTCTCTATTGGTTGGACCTGTGACAAAAATAAATTCTAACTGAATTATAATTATGAATACAGCATATCTGAATGTGAATTATTTGTAAATAGTAAATATTCCAGAAGAGGTTATATAGCTGGAAAAGTGTTCAACTTCTAATATACATTAACACAAAAACAGAGAGGCTTGCTTAGAGTTAAATACAATATACATTTTGATATTAGAAGTATTTTCCCAGTAAAATATTTACACAATTTGAATTCTTATTTTTTAAAATTTATTTATTTTAATTAGTTTCAAGTATACAGTATATTGGTTAGGCATTTATATAGTTTATAAAGTCCCCTTAATTGCTCCTTCTCTCCTCTGGTTTTCCGTCTAGCTAATATATTAATGCTAACGGCATTACCTATGCTGTGCTCCCCATCCCTGTGACCATCTATCATCTACTAATTTGTACTTCTTTAACCCTTCACCCCTTTCTCCCAGCCCTCCAATCTCCAACCCTGTCCCCACGATCACCAGATTGTCCTCTATATTTTGAGTATGTTTTTGATTAGTTTGTTATTTTTGTTCCTTATATTCTGCATATAAGTGAAATCAAATCATATGGTATTTATCTTTGTCTGACTTATAATTCTTATTTTTAAAAGAACTGCTCTTTAATTTTGTTTTAAAATTCACATAAATTTTGTTTTTCTTTATAAAATACTCTTTTATAAGACACTCTTCTACTTGATATGCTGATATTAACAAACACTGATGAATAATGAATAAACAGCTCCTACAACATTGTATTAAAGATCAAATACTAAAGCAAAAAGGGCAGCATCTATAGACACAGAACTTTCTCGTTTTTGTTGTTGCTGCTATTATTATTTTGCAAACATTAAATGAAGGGCCAGTATCTTTGGCATGTTACTTACTGATGGGTAGAGGTAACCTTCTCCATTCATGGCTATGTATAACCCTGTCTTCACTCCCTGGATGGCAACAACGCGCAGTCCCACTGGTATGAGGTTGAACAGTGCTGTAAAGATAAACGTGGTCTGTCACAAATCACAAAAGGAAGTAAAGCATTGCTATCATTTCTTTCTCTTTTCTTTTATTCGGGAAATCATCTTTATTAAGACCTTCTGAGAAGTTCCAATTAATTAACTTTTATTTCTTTTTATAATTAAGAAGTTTCTGCTATGGATAAAATTAGCACTTGATCTTCAGTTTGCAGATCTTAGCAGTCTGCCTATAGCATTCTAAAGAACTCGTGGTGGGGGCAGGGCACGGATAATGAACAGAATCAAGGCTGTAATGCTTCTAGTATCCCAGTCTCTGACAGCACTTGATACCAAAAGTAATCAGCTGTGAAGATTCTCAAAGACTAGATTTTAAAAAGTCATATATATGGTGACAGAAGAGATTCGAACACACAATACAATATACAGATGATGTATTATCAGACTGTACACTTGAAACCTATATAATTTTATTAACCAATGTCACCCAATAAATTTAATTTTAAAAAAAAGGTCAAAGTTGATTGTTTATTTTGGTCCTTCATGCAGAACGTATGCTTTATTATTGCAACGTAGGACAGGCCAGAGGTAAAAAGGTAATTCCAAAACTAACTTACTCTTGCTGAACCAACATAATACGCCAGCAGAGCCCAGAAACGATGTGCACCTGCTAATGCGCTAAATTTAAAAAGAGCTAATCAAACCAATTGCAATGCAAATTTTAGAGAGAGAATTTCCTTTATTAACATTTCATAAAATTATGAGTGAAAACTAAAAGAGAGAAACGTGCTCAATTTTACCCACCTTGGAGATGAAACTCATTTATCTTTTCATGTTTTCTTACCTTATTTACCCAAAAAATGTATGTTTCTATATTTTTCAATAGTGCAGATAGCAATGTTATAATTGATTTTTTAAAAAGTCTTAACATCCCTTTAACTCATTTCCATGCCCGTGTCATAACTTGACGGTTTCGTGGGTAGTCTAGCATCATTCTTAGTAAAAATTGATTGATTATTTGAGAGAATTTATCATAGAGACATTTATAAGAGAGCCATTATCCACAATGATGTAATCTACACTCATTCAAATTCTTTTTAATTCACATCTAATTCTAAGCAATAAGACCGGGTCAGAACAGGCAATGCAGCACTAAAATGTTGAAGTAAATGTATAAATAAAATATCTTAGGTTTAAGCTGTCAACTACATTCCATAAAAGACAAATAATTTAGAAAATGTGGGCAATTTTGATTTCAATCTATAGGTCTTCTCATTACATAACCAAAAATCAACTTTATAAATTGTGTTCTATTGAATTCACAGGCATATGTTTTCTTTGAATATGGTGAAGAAAATTATACATTCTCTTCTAATTACTACATGTTACTGACCCTGAGATCTCAAGATGTCTGTGCTATACATGATGATAGGAAAATGTCAGGCCATAGCTGTAAATAATCATCCCTAGAAGAATACTCTGGGGCATACATGGTTAGGTAGATACTAGCTTTCACGATGCAAACCAACATCAGATTGTCTTCCGTAAGATTCTAGGGGCTTATTATATCGCTATGGAGGAATGAGGCTTATGTTTCCTTATTTCTATTATTTAATACTTAACATAACTGTGGAGTTGTTGAGTACTGTGAGGTAGTTGTGTCATTGTAACTCTCAGTATTCCATCTTCGTGGAAGAAGGACATTGGCCATTTTCATTCTTGTCGAGAATGCCTTAGCTGTCCCATCTCCCTTATATTTTGAAAAGATGTGCACCATAGGATAATTCCTAATTTATATGCAAAAGTTTTTTGGGGGAAACATACTTATATGCCTGTCCATGCAAACTGTCCTAACTTAATCTATCTAAATCTAATTATTCTAATCTTTATATCCTCTTAATAGTATTTGTAGGTTCCATATATTTGGTATAGGTCAGATGTTATAATTCTAGAAGGGAAGTATATAATGAACTCACCAAAATAATGGGGTATGGGAAAAATAGGAATTATAGAAAATAGTCTAAAATAAACATACTAAAAAATAACATACTGGGTTTTTCCTCAAGATTTTGTTTGGAACATGAATTATAAATACAAGTTATTATCAGTTACAGAGTTATAATAGAAAGTGAATCCATACAATTGCTGTAATATGGAAGACCAACCACAGCTAACCATGATGGATCCATGGTGCTAATTAAAACCACATATCCCCACATTAATTGAGACATTGTTGTACTATTTCATTCTTGTATTTTATGTAAATATAAAGCAATGTCACAAAGTTTAGGGGAGTAAAAATAATGAAGATGTTTATGTTATTTTGTTCATTCTGTGGAAAACTAAAGTTCTCCATATAACAGTGATTTTCAACACTGTCGGCACTTTAAAAGTAGCTGTATTCAAAAAATAGGATGGACATGTCCAATCCAAGGCCAATTAAATCAGAATCTCAGGGAGTGGGTTTAAGGCATAAGGAATATTTTTGAAAGCTCCTCAAATGACCCTGGAGTATATAGCCAAGATGAGAACCGCCAACCTAAGGCCAGTGGGGTGATGGTCATCTCACAGGGTGAGTTATTGGTAATTTCTACACAACAAGGTACCTGGTTGGGAATTTCTAAGGTGAGAGGAACTGGTTTGAGTTAGGTTTTAAAATTGTCATAGTTACTAGAATATTGATATTTCTATAGTCTTATTCTGCTTACAGTATCTATTAAGAATGATAATTGGAACAATGGAGTTTAATCTCATAGAAAAACCCCATGGTATCCCCAAAAGCAAAGTGGGAGAAAGAAAACCACTCCTGAATCAAACCTATAATTCATGGTAATGCTGACATTTAGTATATAGAAAGGAAGCTCTACGTTTTCTAAATATGTATACCCCTGAAAATGAGCATGGTCATGAAGTAACCTGGGTGTTCATTTCATTTTGTGAAAAATCTTTCCAAAGCACACAGGAGCCACTGATAAGCAGTCAAGTTGCTACAGGATCCTCTCTAATAGGACCAATTTTATCCACCATCAAACATTTTCTTGCCATTTTTCCCACCAGGGATTTCTAGATCTCGGGCTGAAAACTCCGGAAGCACATTGGTCTTGGGTTCACCTGCCAGCTGGCCTTTCTCATCTTCTTAACTCATCAAACAATTTTAACGAAAGCAGTTTAGCAGTATGGTTCTGACTTTACCTAGTTCTAAATAATCTCATATTTAGTACTGGGATATGTGTTGAATTCAAATCACAATTTGAAGGTTTAAGCTTCAGGGGTTTTTTTGTTGTTTTTTTTTTTGTTGTTTTCATTTGGTAACTTTTGGGTGGCTTCAGGGCAACTTTTAGGTTATTTCTTCTTATTTTCCTACTTATGGATGACTAATCCTTGTTTTGTGTTCAGAGAGTTATCAAAAAACTGAAACACATTTGTGCTTTATTATATCACATCCTTCCTCAAGCTAAAAGGGCAGTCCTTTAATTAGGACCTGTCTGTCAGCATCCCTATCTCTAATGCTTATCCTCATTTGTAAATAATACTTTTCAGTGCTAACAAATTTCTTAAAATTCATAAGACTGAACCATAGAGAAGAAAATATCTTAAACCATAGAGAAGAAAATATCTTAAAATTCATTTTAAAAAACTGTTTTTTCCATTAAAAAGGTGATAGTACACAAAAGTAGAGTACTTCTCAGTGCTTTCATAAAGCTGTTATAATTCTGCCAAATTTTATTAAATTTTATAGTTGTACAATTTTTATACCCTTTTGAAGAGAGAACCTTTATCTCACCATCTTTTATTCTGTTCTGCTATGTCTTTGCAAATGTTGAAATGGCAACAAAACTAACCTACCTATCTCAAAATGCACTGAAAATGCAATGTAATTTGTAAGAAAAGAAGCTGTGGACCAGATCTTTGCACAGGAATTTAAGTCCTTCGAATGCAGGCACTGTTATTTGGTTCTGAGTTGCTTTTACACAGAGGCTCCTGTTCTTGCTTCATCTTCAGAACTGTTCCTCACTCACATTTAAGGGGATTAAGGAAGATTTCAAGAGTTAACCAGAGATTTTGTTCCCTCTTCTGCAGTTACACAATAGGAGGAAAGAAGTCCCATACATACAGAGAACAGAAGCTGAGTATCTTTTAGTATCTCAGCTTTCCAGTTTAGCAGTTAATGTTATCCAGATAACCAGCTATAACTATGTATGATGCATATAATGTCTACATCTGCACTTTCACAATTTAGAAAATATTGTATTAGCTTGAACCAAGAGAACCTGACATCTTTTATAGGTCAAATATGGTTAAGAACTGATAATTTTAAAAGGTTCAAGCTAATATTGAAATCCCAACAAGTAAACAATGACATTGGTCTTATAATAAAAATATTTCCTCTTTCTTCCCTGTGTCTGAACTGCTTTAAAATCTCTTTTCTTAAATCAAAGAGGAAATAAAACAAAAATAAACCAATGAACAAATATGATAGGGAAAAGTTTAAAAGTACAAAAAGATAACATAATACGTACAAGAGAAAAATATAGATAAATCAAGAAAAATTAAAAGTTGAAAGAAAAATAAAAAATAATGCCCAAGTTTAAAAATAAACATGATGGCTGGAAAAATACTAATATTTACATAGCAACACCAAATGCATAAATAGTCTATTTCATATTATTAGCTGCTATCAGAATCAGTTACTGAAAATTTGATTACTACAGTTTAAAACAGGAAATGCCTATAACTTGGTTACATGCATTCAAATCCTCCTTTCTTTTTCATGAAATGAAATTCCAATAAAATCGGGTTTTGCTTTTCGCTAACTCTCGAGCAATAGAAAGTATGTCTATTTTAGAGCTGATGCGCTAAATTAAAAGAAATCACATACCAATATAAACAGAAAATGGGAAAGGAAAACACAGACAATTGAATAAAGAGAGATACCAGAATGAAAAAAAAAAAGAAAAATTACATACAAAGAAATAGTAAAATGAAGACAGACAGCACAATGGAAGGAGGGTGGCTT